CCTGCCGGGCATCCACAAACCCACAAATCTTCATCACCTTCAACGGTGGCGGCGGTAAATAGTTCCTCTCCACTTCCCCAAAGCTCGGCTCCCTCGAGAGATACTCCATCCTCGAATCCACCACCTTTCTCATCGCATCCCTCACATTCCCTCCATATCTCATGGCTTCTTCCACAAGACCCTCATCCTTGTCCAGCATCCACTTCACCAGGTTGCTCCTCTTGCTCACACACTCCACCATAGCTCCGAGCACCTCCTCCTCTCCCAGCCAAAACAACGTCTCGAAAAACTCCTTCTGGTCCTTCCAAGCCAACGCGAGCTTGGGATCTCGATGTCTATCCCCTACCCAAGAAATCATCTCTGCCCTGTCAGCCACCTCCGGGAGCTCTGCCTTGCACAGATCTCCAAAAACCGTCCTCAATCCATCTTTCTCCTTCAAGCCAACCAAGCTCGCAGCTCCTCGCATTGTCTTGATCACTGTGGAGCGATTCATGTATGGAGCCCTGGGTATGAGCTCGGCCTTGTCGAGCAGCAGCAGCGCCACCACCTCGTGATTTTCCAAGCTCGTCACCTTGGCAAAATCCGCGAAGAGAAGCTCGGATGCAAGCGCCACCGCTGTGTCATGATCGCCCAGGGACTCCAGCTCCATCACAAACTTCACCACGTCTTCCACATACTTTTCTTTGCTCCAGGAACCAGAGAGATCCTCTAAGCATTCCTTCCTCCACGTCCAAAACTCGTCCACCTCCTCTCTGCGCTCCGGAAAGTGATGCCTCAGCTTGGCAAGAGCCCGGCTGCTAAGCTTCTCCCAGGGAACTCGTCCCAGAATGTGGGAGACCTCGTCGCCAAGCCTTGCGTCAATGCAAAACTCGAGCAGCATCGCGATCCCATTCTCTAAATGCTTCTCCTCATTGTACTTCACAGTCACGGGTAACTCAGAGGAGATCTCGCCGCAAAACATCTTGGCTGCAGCGATCGCCCCGTCCCGGCATCCACACGCGTCCAGTCGCAAGGCCAGACCTCCGCAAGCCATCACTGCGCCATACCACTCCGGAGGATCGCTGGCTTTCACATCTTCTCTGCTCCACCACTGACGCTTCACTGGCTCTTTGTGCTCCTTTACGGCGTTCATCACCGTTTCCACAGTCCCTTTGCATGCCTCCCAGCCGTAAGCCTTCACCGCCGTCGCAAACTCGTCGAAGCTCGTCAGGTTCGTTCCCCACGTCCTCAAGATCAAGAACGCGGCATCGCGAGCACCGTTCATCACACACGCATCGAGCAGCCGGGCAACAAACTTCCAGCATCCGAGTCTTCAACCCGGAGAAGCCTCAAACTTCTCCGGCAAGCTGTGGAAAGCATCCACAGCTTGCTCCAAGTTTCTCCTCTTGCTTTCCTCCGATCCGCAAGCTTCTTCCTCGATCCAGTCCAGCAGCCAGTCTGTGTGTATCGGCGAGCAGCAAATCGTTTGCATCCTCGTCTCTCTCGGCCACACCACCAGAACCGCGACGTGGTAGAAGTACTGATTCGTGCCACCTTCGTTTCCAGCCATCATCCCCGTCCCGCGGAACTCGTCCTCGAGAAAGTCGAAGAGATCTCTCTCGTTAAACTCGTCCTTGTCCTTGTTCATATCCCGGGGCAGCTTCTTCAGCGCGCAGCGAAGAACTTGGTGCCGGACATCAATCTCCCACCTTTGAAACTTGGCTGGCCTATTGTCGATACCGTACTCGATCGACACGTCCTCCGTCACGGTCTTGTGCTTGGTGAGCATGCAAAGATGGACATCCAGAAACTCGCAGGCTCTCACCATGGCCGCTACAACGCGGTCCTGGCCCTTGAGCCCGGCAAACGAGAGGCTCGTCTTGGAGTACTTGTGAGCCAGCGGGATCGCCAAGAGCTTCCTCTTATACTCGCTGCGGTTGCGGCTGTATACCGGGGCATAGTCATCGTCATCGGAGCTATCATCTTCTTCCTCTTGAGTCCTCCTTGTCGCACGCTATTGCCACGACGAAGACTTAGAAATGGATAGAAAGTAGAGATCGATGCTTACCGTGGCGAGTTGTATCCGGGGAGCGTTTGATCTCGCTACCGTGGCGAGTTGCCTTGACCTCCGCGAGTTTGCTCTCTGCGCCACACCGCCGCCACCTTTCTCGACCCATTCCCGAAGAAGCTCTTTCACTCGAGGCATCGAGGACACAAAAGAGGGGACGTTCTCGGCGGCTATGAACTCCACGTTGTTCCTCACCAGGCTAAAAACCAGGGATAGCCTCGATCCGCCGGTCACTTCCTCAAGCTGGTGCTCGCAGTCGCAAAAGAAGATGGTCGAGAAGTACTTGCTGGAGCTGCCTTGCGAGAAATCAAAGCAGTAGCGCTCCAGCCCCTGGCGAACCCCGAGAGCTCCTCCGGCGTGCCCGGACGCTGTGGGGAGCTGGACGATCATCGTCGCAAACATCCCAGCTTCCTTCTCCGTGTCCCTGTGGAACTTGAAGTGTCCTCCAGCCTCGTAGAGCAGCAGCTTGTAGAGCTTCACGTCGAGCTCCAGCGCTCTGGGATCCAGGCCCATGGCGGCGAGCCCAGCAGCCGCCAAGCCATGAACCACGGACGAGAAGAAGCTCGGATTCTCGGGGCAGGAGATCTTATCTGGATTGACCTGCCATGCTTTCCTCACGTCGGTGTCGACGAGAGTCCTCTCGCCGAGACCGTATGGCGCTTGCTGGCAAACTGACTTGAGCCTGGCCAGACCCTCTTGCGAGAGCGGGAGATGGATGCTACCGGCGCCTTCCACGAGCAGCGACGCTGACATGGGGAAGACATTCACATCGATCTTCCCTCCAGTCGCAAAGACTTCTCGATCACACCACAGCGCCTTGAGGAGCTCCTCCGAATTCATAACTCTCTTAAACCCTAAAAGATCTTTGTTTCAAAAAAATGCAGTCCCAAAATGCGAGCAAGGGTGGCCGAAGATTTCAACGATGACGTGCACTGGAACTTTTGGGGGACAGGATGGTGATGACGGTGGCTCCAAGCACTTTTAACACGGAGTTTTCGCACTGGAGCGTTTGCGATTCCGAGTGTTATGTTTGCTCTTCGCCAGCTATGAACCTGCCTTTCTTCGGTGTACAGGAAGAGTACCCTTGCATTTGTTAAGGTCAGGGGGTTTGATCCGGAGAAGAATCCCTGGCTGGATATTGTGTACTTCGTAGTCTCGTTGGGCGTCGCTACATCTTCTCACAGCCACCATGAACGCGTGATAATCCCACTTGACGCCTTGATTGAGCTTGTGCACTCAAGCACTGGCATCGTGAAACTCTCCGACCATCGCATAAGTCTCGCCGTTGCACACAGATATCAGGGGCGACAAGAGTTGGCTGTTTTGTTGTGGCAATCTCGATAATCCGGTGATGATCATCGAGTTTGATGTCCGTAGAGAAGAGTGGACGAGGGCTGAATGTTTCGTTTTACTTCTTCCAGGTGTGGGATTTTGTTTGTACACACTCCAATTGAGACTGGCTTTAGCATTGCAGCGTTGGAGATCGAGGTCTCATTTCGCAATGTCAACTTTCATATAGCTACAAAATCGGTCTGAGGAGGGTGAGCCGGATCGAGGCAAATCCTCCAGCGATCAGGGCTACTCATTCCAAGCTTGGAAAGCAAGGACTTCATGCGGTAGTGCGTGTCGGGAAGTGGCTGGCCTTCAATCTTTCTTTTCCATCCCTCCGGCTGGTTTGATGCAATAGGAAAGTACGACTCATCGACACCACCGTGAAGCTCGTGGAGTAGTTGGTCCTGGAAGTGAATGGGAACTTGAGCTTCGTCTAGAATGTGCGTAATATTGACGAGTTTTCGTTTCACCCTCCACTCGTATCTTTTGACGATGTTCGACGTGCTCTCTTAACGCCATCAACCTCTGCTTCAACAGCTTCCAGCCCTTCACCGCAGCCCTGTTCTTCTCGTTCCTCTAATCCCTCCCCAGCCCCTTTTCATCTCGTTCGTCTTGTCTCCTCCTCCTAATCCCTGATCGGTCAATTTGCGTGTCTTACAATTCGGCATTGCTGATTCCTCCACAAAGTGGAGCGATGCATGGACCTTCTCGGCCGTCAGCCTAGCCGCACCTCTATCTCTCCAATCGAGTGCAAATCTTTCCAATGCTTGGCGCTCCCTCGATCGCCATGGCAGCTTTAAGCACGCGGGATGATCAACAGTTCGTGTACCATGGGAAGTGTAACATTGAGATTTTAGTTGTTTTTCTTGTGATTCCAGTTTTTTCTTGCTGGAGTTGTACGCATGGAAGAAATTTACCAAAGAGGAATGAGAATGGTCTGAGCCTTTCAGCCTTCCAGGTGCACATGCACGCAGAAGTTAGACTTTTAGAAAACCAGCAACTCAAGAAGCTGTCCCCATCCAAGCTGAATGGGATGCACACCTTGGATAGAGCACTCGTTTGTGGGCTTGCTGGAGAGTTATGCCGTGAAGTACTTGCCATCCCCCGTGCTCCATGTTATGGTCTGAGCGCTCAGCTCTCTGGAGTTGCTATCGGAAACAGCTAGATAACATAGGTATAAAAAGCGATATTTAATACGGTCAAACTTCCTCCCCTCAGCAAAGGTTTGAAAGCATCATCCATGCACTGGTTGATCTCTCTTTGATCCAGGCATTGACTACCAAGGCACTCGGAACTATTCTCCTCGTCTTCACAGCGCTCCAAAAACTGGATATTTCAGATAATTCAATCCAAGGGGAAATTCCAATTGAACTAGCACGCTACACTCTAGTTGACATGTCAAATCAAACCCTGGGAATGGAAAGAAACAAAAGTTGATTGGACAAATTTCACGGCCACTGCTTGAGAACTGCGCAAAGTTGGAGCTGCTGAAGCTGGGGAACAACTCTCTCCATGGCACCAACATTGACGTGAGCAAACTTCCATGGTTAAAGAGAAATACTTGCTGGAGCTGCCTTGCGAGAAATCAAAGTGTAGCGCTCCAGCCCCTGGCGAACCCCGAGAGCTCCCCCGGTCTGTGGGGAGCTGGACGATCATCGTCGCAAACATCCCAGCTTCCTTCTTCGTGTCCTGTGGAACTTGCAAGTGTCCTCCAGCCTCGTAGAGCAGCAGCTTGTAGAGTTCACGTCGAGCTCCAGAGCTCTGGGATCCAACCCCATGGCAGCGAGGCAGCCGCCGCTCGGATTCGGCAGGAGATCTTATCGGGATTGATCTGCCATGCCGTCCTTGTTCTCTCGCAGAGACCGTATGGCGCTTGCTGGCAAACCGACTTGAGCCTGGCCGGTCACCCTCTTGCGAGTGCAGGAGATGGATGCTACTGGCGCCTTGGACGAGCAGCGTAGATTGTTGTTGCTGGCGGGCTTCAATTTTGTCGGCTAAAGATGCTGGCTATTAAGCGACGCTGGCATGAGGAAGAGATTCGCATAACTTTCTCCATAACTCTGGTGTTCCCTAGTCAACGCTAGTCAAATTATTTGTGTTTACAAACGCTAAACAATGAGCAAAGTTTGTTTGTGTTCTTCATTGTTCTTCACAGCGATCACAGAGCTCTCTCATCTATCCTCCGGGAAAGGAAGATACTCCTTGTTGATCTTCCGGAGCGTGGAATTCTGGGCAAGAGTGTCCACAACAGCCGTCACAGCAGCAATCGAGGCAGCAGCCGCGAGCCCACGCCCAACACTTCCATCTGCCAAAAACCCACCAACGAAAAAAAAATCACAACGAAGAAAAAAAAACCCCTCAATCCAATCCAAGACAATGTAGCTCACTTCTCAGCCCAAGAACAGCTCCAGCGGCCCAGCCGGCATAGATCGAGTTCCAATAGTCCGCCTTGCCGCGATACCTCTCGCAGAGGGCATCGGTGAGGGCGTAGGCGGCGCCCATGGCCCCAATTGTAGCGCCATACTCGATCATCTGGTAGCGATTCACGGCCCTGACAATCTCCCGGCCCTTGGTGGGCATCTGGTAGTTCCACCGCGTCTTGAGATTGCCATACAGGGCGCCCAGCAATCCACAGCCCAGCCCCCCCGAGAGCGTCTTGTACGTTACCGTGTCATACTCGCCCAGATCCACGCCGCGGTAGTCATCCGAGCCCAGCACCGGCGCCTCTGTTAGCGTCTCGAATAGATCGCTCACCACGCCCATCTCTCCAAGCCCAAATTTAGGGTTCTTCCGCAAATTCCGGAATTTCACATAAACCCTAAAATGCGGCTTTAGACATTAGCATGATGTCCTTTTTGGGCATATGCCAAGTCCACACAACGGAGATCCCACTCCCTTGGAAGACCCGTGAGGTGCACTGGAACTTTTGGGGGATTACTGGCGATAGACGGGACAGGATGGTGGTGACGCTGGCTTCCCTCACGAAGAACAAGGCCTTCACTTTTGACTTTGTAAAATGTAAGACTTCAGGGTTCTTCGGCGCTTCTTCTCCCAAAATGCCAGGTCTTCACGACCTTCCGGAGCAGCTCCAGGACGTGATCTTCTGCAAGCTTCCTTTCACTTCCATCACCGCGGCACGGTGCGTCTGCAAGCACTGGCGCACCAAGCTGCGCAGCCAAAACTTCCTGGTAATGTACCGAGAGTGCAGGACCAGGCCGCGCGAGCAATGGATCATGGCTAGCAACAAGAGTGGCGCCGGCGGCTACGCGATGTTTAGCATCCAGGACAGGAAATGGGTGGACACAAGCTTGGCGCTACCGCCTTCTCTCCTGCCCCGAAACAGCACCTTGGCACTCTTTGGATCCTGCGTGGGGTTGTGGTGCATTGGGGTCTCGCTTGGCCCCGAGCTCTCCAAGCTGGTGCTTTGCGACCCCATCGCCGCGAGGATTTTCAAGGAGATCCCACTCCCTTGGAAGGCCCATAGGGAGGACTGGAACTTTTGGGGCATTGCTTCTTTGGATGGCTACAGACGGGACCGGATGGTGGTGACAGTGGCTTCCATCTCGAACAATAAGGTCTTCGCATTTAACACACAGTTTTCGCACTGGAGCGTTTGCGATTCCGGTCGTTACGTTTGCTCTTGGCCAGCGACAAGCCTGCCTTTCTTCGCTGTGAGGGACGAGCGCATTGTTATGAAGGTCAGACGGTTTGATCCGGAGAAGTCTGGGAATCCGTGGCTGGATCTTATGGATGTGGTAGTTTCGTTGGGCGTCCGTTCGAGGAGGTCTGGGATATTTGTGTGCAATGGCGAAACTTACGCCATGGTGGGAGAGTTTTACAACGACAAGACTGTGCTTGTAGTGCACAAGCTCAATGATGCAGATGGCAAGTGGGATTATTACTCGTTCAAGGTGGCAGGGGTTTGTGACGAGGTTGAGATTCTTAGCAATGGGGCAGACAAGATCTGGGTGGTTTGTTGTGGTAATCCTGATAATCCGGTGGTTATCATCGCGTTTGATGTGAGTAGCGAAGAGTGGACGATGAACCAGGGGATCTTTGGGCCCATTCGGAACTTGGACAAGGTTATGTTCTTTGAAGTTTGAGGTGATCAGATCGTAAGCTGGTGACTTGCATTTTATTTTTTGTGTTCCTATGGAGTGGTCTTTACAAGCACCATGCAGTACTTAAAATCATTTCCATTTCTAGTGTGATCTAAATTCTCTTGAGTACAGAATGAATTTGAATGAATTCTCTTGAATTTGTTGTTTAAAGGAATGGAACAGCCACAACTTCACAACATTGAGATTCGCTTGTATCTTTTGGGAAGACATCCTTTTCTGAATGGATCTTCCTCTACAAAAAGCTCTTGCCTGGTTGTAATCAAAATTCAGGAAATAAACATGACAAACTTAAGCTTACAGACACACGATTAGGGTAAACAAAGATGCGATAGCGGTTTAATGGCCTTCCGGAGCAGCTCCAGGACGCGATCTTCTGCAAGTTGCCTTTCACCTCCATCACTGTGGCGCGGCGCGTCTGCAAGCAATGGCGCACCAAGCTGCGCAGCCAAAACTTCCTGGTAATGTACCGAGAGTGCAAGACGAGGCCGCGCGAGCAGTGGATCATGGCTAGTAGCAAGAGTAGTGACGGTGGTTACGCAATGTTTAGCGTCCAGGACAGGAAATGGGTGGACACAAGCTTGGCGCTACCGCCATCGCTGCTACCCCAAGGCACCGCCATCTCGCTGGCACTCTTTGGATCCTGCATGGGGCTGTGGTGCATTGGGGTCTCACTCCATTGCAAGCTCTCCAAGCTTGTGCTTTGCGACCCTATCGCTGGGAGGATTTTCAAGGAGATCCCACTGCCTTGGACGGCCAATAACGAGGAGTGGAACTTTTGGGGGATTGCTTCTTTGGATGGCTATACACGGGACAGGATGGTGGTGGTGGTGGCCTCCATCCCGAAGAACGAGCTCTTCACTTTCAACACACAGTTTTCGCACTGGAGCGTTCGGGATGTTCCAAAGCATTACTTGTGCTCTTGGCCAGTGACGACCCTGCCTTTCTTCGCTGTAAGAGATTACTGCGCTCCTAAAATTAGGGTCAGGGGGTTTGATCCAGAGAAGCGCGGGAATCCCTGGCTGGATGTTATGGATTTGGCAGTCCCGTTGCGCGTCGACGGCCACCTCCGTTGGACGACGTCCGGGATATTTGTGTGCAAGGGCGACATCTATGCGATGGTCGTAGAGTTTCACGAGGGAGAGATTGTGCTTTCAGTGCACAAGCTCAATGATGCAGATGGCAAGTGGGATTATCAGTCGTTCAAGGTGGCAGGGGCTTGTGAGGAGGTTGAGATTTGTAGCAATGGGGAAGACAAGATCTGGGTGTTTGACGAAGGCAAGATCATCGAGTATGATGTGCGTAGCAAAGAGTGGACGATGGACAACGAGATCTTCAAGGACTTTCAAATCATAGACAAGGTACTGTTCTTCGAAGTTTGAGGTGATCACAAGTCTTCTTTCCTTTCATTCTCTTTTATTTCATGTGGTCCAAAACAGTTCTTTGACTGTAGTTATCATTTAAAATCACTTTACTTTTTGTGTTCTTAGTAAAGTGTCGACTTATCGATTCTTTTTAACCAATAAAACTGCCTAAACCTTTAGGGCTTGCATATTTAGTTTAACCATAAGCTTTTGCCTTTAAAGTTAAGCATTCTCTACCCTAATTAATTAGGACAAAAAACGCATGACATCCTACGGTTGACACGTCCCCACTAGCGGGACCTGGACAGCTAACGCCCGTCGGATCGTTCCACGCTGGGCGGGCGGGCCCCGCGCCCCAAGGGGGAGAATATTCGCTGAGCTCGAGAGTCTCCTCTCAATAGTCGAGCTCCCACAGCAAATATTTTGCTTTAAACAAGCCTATCATTCCCAGATCTCCAGCGCCTCCTCCTCGATTCCATGCCGCCGGCTATGGCGAGATGCCGCCATCTCTCCAGCTCTCCCGTCTAGATCGGCACCATTCCAGCGCCAATCCATGGTGACGCTGGCCAGATCGTGCTGCGCCGCGGCGACGGCCACAACCTCGTCCACGATCCCTTACAGGCGATTGAAGCAGCTTAGGGCGGAGCGGCAAGCGGCGGTGGCCGCGAGCGCTGGAGCTCATGGTGGGAATGCCGGCGCTGGGAATCCACAGGTGGGCCATGGTGAGGACGATGAGGATCACAGGATGAGAATTCGATCGCTGAGCAAGGCGGATCGATCGGAGGACGCGGTGGTGCTCAAGGTTGCCACGGTTGGCGACTGTGAGTCGGGGAAAACAAGCTTTCTGGTAAGCAAATCCGAGCTTAGCGAGAGTCTTTCTCTCGTATAAGCGAGTGTGGTTTTGGATCCTTCTCAATTTTTTTTTTTTTTTGTTCCAGGCCAAGTATGTGAGCGCTGGGACTACTCAAGGGGATCCCGAGCTGGAGGATGATCCGGAGTCACAGCTCCATCCCCACTGCGAAGAGGATTATGCGCAAACTCTAGGTGTGGCTTTGCGAGAGAAGTGCCTGAGGATCAAGAATGCCAAGATTGTTTTCAGCATCTGGGAGCTTGGAGGTCTGGTAATGCTGCCGAATTTCATCCTAGAGTAGAGTCTGCATTCCATTCCTTCTTTCTTTTCTTCTTCCTAGCGACGAAGTTTCGGTTTTTTTTTCCTGGGCAGGAGACAGATTGTTTGAGGATCTTCTTCCCAGTGTTTGCGAGGGTGCTGCTGCCGTGATTTTCATGTTTGATCTCACGAAACGCTCGACTCTCAAGAGGTATTTTGTCGTTGAGGATCTTTGTTTTGTGTGCGATCGGCCTGCTGTTCATACTTTCTTCGTTGGATTTTCCCAGTGTCAAAGAATGGTTCATCAAGTCCAGGAAAATTAACAATGTAATTAAAAGCTAAGCTCTGGAGTTTGGTCAGGAAGATTATCTAACGTTTCTGTTTCTGATGACAGTGTGCTATTCCTATTCTAGTCGGAAGCAAGTATGACCAGTTTATCTATTTCCCCCAAGACATTCAGGTGGCAATCACCAAGCAGGTAAATTGTCCAGTTTTCCTGCCTTTTTTCTCCAACCAGGAATTAACTCCGGGTAACCAGGCGATGTTTTATGCCGAGACAATGGGTGCGTCTCTCTTCTTCTCCAGCACCACGCACAACATCAACATCCACAAGATCTTCAAGATCATCGTGGCCAAGGTGTTCGATCTGCGCTGTAACATCTCCAGAAACTACAACTTGGGAGAACCCGTTGTGGTTTACTGAGAGTCAATTGAAGAAAAATGGATTATGGTTCCTGCATCTTTGTAGCCACTTTTCCTAAAGCTGTTTGAGGTGGACTGAGATCGTTAAAGTTCATAGCATTGATGGATGAAGGTTTTTTTTCCAGCCAGATGCTAGAGTAGCAGCCATAAAAGCCAAAGCATTACAAATAGCACTGAAAGGACTCAAAGAATCAAAACACTCCTCGGACCAAGCTATGATAATGTTGAATCATAGTAAATATACCTAGAACATTCAAGCATTGAGATGTAACTTTTTCTAATTCGTTTGTAATTATAAATCTCCATTTTCTGTCTTGCACGCTTATGGTCAAGGCGCAAATGTTGTTCAGACTGTCTTCCAAGGACATAACAAAGCCGTGTAAAAGGAAGGGCCAATGATCAATGGACACATAGATCCAAGAGGAGATTGATTGAGATTTTAGCAAAATGGTGCTTAGAGGAATTGAATAGCAAGTATGCTGGGAATAATTAGATCTTCATAATAGCTAGTGTCATTCTAAGGATGATCCAAAATCTATTAACAAGAGGAGTGACCAAGTTAAGTACTATTAAAATACTTAGCTGCATAGTTTTGTTAAGCTTTATGTGGAATAACCTTTTCCATCCACCATGTTTTGTATCTTTGAAAATTGGATTGGGCAGCTATATTTGTCAATATAACATGTTTGGAGTATTTGGATGTGAGCTACAATTATTTGAACTCCAGATGATTCTCACCATTGAACAATTCTTGAAGAGTTTCCATTATTGTGCCATAGTCATGAAAGTTAGGACTGAATAAGTGCCAAAATCAAACATATTGACTATATCTTTCCCCAAACCAAAGATACCCTTCCTCCAAAACTAAATATTATCATTTGTATAGCTTCATTGCTCCCACTATTCCAAGTGATAGAGGTTATTGCACAAAAATCTGGGGATTTGTCAAAGTTTAGAAGTATAGTGGAATCAAGGTTTTGGATTATTAATTTAATTTATCAAATGGAAGTTTATAATTATAAATAATGTTCATAATTTATAAACACAAGATTAACATTATTGTGTATCAATCATTAGATGGTAAAATAAACTAGAATATATTAGGGAGTGTTTAAGAAAGTTTATAAGTTATAAACATATTCATAAATTATAAATACAAGACTAATCTAAATGAATAACAACTGTTAGATAGTAGAATATCCTAGAATATCTACATATTTTAATTTCTTAAGAAAACTAAAAATGGTAAACAATTATTAAGATTTGTATTAGAACAGCTTAATTGGTTTCCAGTCCAATCTTGCATTTATTTGGGAATTTAATTTAATATTGTAAGGGCCAAGTGTACGGCTACAATGCCGTGTACTAATATTAGCGTAGTGGGCTTTTGGTAACCGTCGGATTGGTTTCAATCCGGACCACTCGCTCCTATATTTAAGATAATGTTTTTGGGCTAATTGATATACACATTTCTGTATTCCCTTTCTATATTCTATACACTCACATTGGTGGAGGTGAGGGGCACCTTTGATTGTCCCTGAGGAGTGTTTGGATTTGGGATTTCAGTTTAGATCTAGCTTTTGCATTGTCTAGATCTAGCTTTTTCCATTTTTTTTCTTTTGTTCTTTCCTTTCAGGATTTTGGTTTAGATCTAGCTTTTTGCATTGTTTAGATCTACCATTTCCTTCTAGCTTTTTGTCATTTCTCTTCTTTTGCTCTTTCTTTTTCATTCGTCTCCATGGCAGATCAACAATCTCCTCTTTTGACTCTGGAGCAGTAGTTGGTACAATTGCTTGATACTATGCACTTGCAATTGAACAACCAAACTCAGTTGATGGCGGCGTTCACAGCATATGGTACAACTCCTCCTGCTCTTGGTGCCAATCTGTCGTGAATGTAACTTCAGGTTTCGAAAGTTACCTGTCGGCCAGTCCTTATGGACACTCTTACCTTACTGCCACGACAGCAGGAGGTCGGTATTACTGGACCCTTTATCAGTCCCTCTTGTGTTAGTGGAGTTAACTGGGCATTTCGAGTGTACTTAGACCGGACGAGCATAAGGACGGAATCCCTACGTGTTATTAGCTAAGCATATTTAGCCCGGTAAGGAGTTTCCGTCTCGTTTTGTCTTGCACTTGCTAGTGATAAGAACCCTCGCGTATTGAGATTGGTCCCTCAATGTCGCTGGATGATAGTTTACCGTGTTTGCCAAACACCCTCGCTATCATGCCCTTTGTGTTAGTCTCATTTCGGTCCTAAATGCTATTTATGGAAAGTGTCTAGATTTGCTCATTTGGCATATCTACGGAATGTAGAGATCGGCTTGAACACAATGGTGTTCGTCCCATGTCCAAATTCGCATTTTAGCGCCATTCCATATTTAGTAAGTTTTGAGCTTGTCCCAGAGACTAACTCCTGATACTAAGGGAGGCTTGTGGTGAAAGCTCAAAGCGTGTGTTCCTCACGGGGGGGGGGGGGGGGGGGGGGGGGGCTGTGGGGGGTTCCAAATGTATAGTAGGGTTAGTGGGTAGGTCGGGCATGGCCGACCAACCTAAGGCATAGTCTAGCTCTCGCTTGCGTGCCTGTCCTTGTTCTGCGTCCGGCTTGGGTCTAAGCCCAAGTTCCATTCCATGCTAACTAGTGGAGTACCCATATCTTCACGTTAGGCCACCGGTATGCCGAAATAGTGCCAGACTCCGTTTGGCTCCGTTTTGTGTGCTGGTCCTGGCATTAGGATGCTAGTTGCTCTAAGACTGTTCCAAGTCACTTCGGGCTCCTGTCCCTTCGCTCCTTGGGCTAAATGCTCGGGAGTTGCTCCGTGGTCCGGTTCCATCACTCCTTGGCTCCATGCTTGGGAGTTTGGCACTATTCCTTCGTTCAGTGGCCCAAGGCCCTGAACCTCGGGTTCCTATGGACACGTGGCATAGACAAGTGGCATATGACATGTGGCATCTGTCACATGGCACAAAGAGGGTTTAGGTTCCGCTTCGTAGTGTTATCCTATGGTAAATCACCATAGGATAAAGGGTCAAAACCACGTGCGCTACATTTGGTATCAGAGGATGAGTCTCAACGAGTACTATTCAATGAGATTGGGCAACTAGTCTTGTTGCATACACAGAGATGAAAACGATGATCCGAGTGGGTACACGTTTTGGTGCAAAGACTTCGCAATCGTTCCTTGGGTATGGATTTGGTTACTTTCTTGTACCGTAATTATGTGAGCTTGCTCTTGGGCTCATAAGATGGATTTGAGTTGTTCCGGTTGCACGAGTTTGTGCTTGGGCTCGTGAGTGAGGCACATTAGCAACTTGAGGTTACACTTTGAGTTGGCAGGATTAATGTTAGCCTATCGGTGGTTCCATGAGTTGTTCCATGTACCGTGGGTGAAAGTAAACTTTCCCTGAGTTTGCTATGAGTGGCAAATAGGCTGGTCCGTAGCTGTTTAGCACGGCACTAGTGGATCCTTCCTAGGCATGATTATAAGTGGATCAATCAAGACTATAGGGATTAATCTATTGGTTCAAGTAATCATGGCCATGCTCTCTCATAAACTTTTCTTCGATTGAACTGAAGGCAGTGCGAAAGCAAGCTTGAGGTTTGGTCAAAGATGAGACCGAAAAGAGAGTCATTGGGGATGGAGGATCAAATACGTAAATCATCTTCTCTTTTGGAGAAATGATTCGCAACGAGGTGTTAACTCATTGCTTGTATTCACATCATGCAATCAAGAGTCCCTATCTTGATGCATGTTGGAGATGGTGGTCTTACAATGGTGAGTTGTGGGATGGATAGTGGTAAAGTGCTATACCATTTTGTCTAAGCTTGCTATTGGAAGACTTGGGTTGCAATGCTCAATTCTTTTCCGGGGAACCTTGCTATTGCTCCTTGAGTAGCTTGGTGTTGGATTAGTTTTGAGTTTGGTCAGAAAAAGAGTGGTATGAACTTATCTGTGTTGTGAACAAAAGTTGGTGGTGGCATTTATGTTACATTTTATTGAATTGAGTTGACACTTGATATTTATGTAAACCTTTGTAGTAGTGACATGGGTGATGCTCGTAGTGTTGCTCGATTGATGATCAAGTCATTGTGATTATATATCATATCCATGTGATAGTAAACAATGTGTTTACAAAGTTGCTTGGATAAACGATGATCAACCCCCAAAGTGGTTGATGGAGAAGCTAGTCTACTTGCATGAAGTAGCATTGTAGTAGTTTTGACTGGATTCTCAATGGTGGTTCATTATGCTAAGCTTAAGTTGGTACCTTGTTTCTTTGAGGGTTTGCCCATAAGGTGTTGGGAATGGGTTGTAGCATTCATTTGCTATAACTCATCTGTTGATCCGTTAGCACTTGGAGTAGATTATTGGATGGAGAAGGTGTGAGGTTGATGCATTGACATTGCTAGCACTTGTGTTAGTGGAAGTGGCATTGTTGATTTGAGTGATGAGGAATTTTCCTTAGAGCTTGATTTTCCATGTCATTTTTCTTGTTAGTGTTTTGGCTTCACATTGGATCTTGAAGGTGGTTGAAGAAGAGTGTTAGTGCAATGTGGATATCTGACGATGTGGTCTTCGTGATCAAGCTTTAGATGTTCATTTTGCACTTTGCGGGTGTCGGTGTTGAATATCAATTAGATGGGCAAAAATGTTCGATGCTTAGACGTATTGTTGGATCATGAGAATTTGTGTTGAGGTGAACCTATGTGAAGTAGTAGGTAGGCAGAAGTTGGTTGAGTCTTGAAAGTTTGCATTCCTGGACTGAGAGTCATTCTTTCTCTAGAATGGAAAATTTTCCACAAATTTTCTTAGGCTTTTCCAATGGCTGATCCATTGATCACTTTGCCGAAAACCATTCCATTTTCATAAGCCAATACAAACTAGTGAAGGGGTTGGAGTTGACTTTGGTTAGCCTAAACCTTAGTAGGTAGTTTGTATGATGCAGCCTAAAAAGGATACTGACTTTTGGGGTTAATGCAATTGAGTTGGATAGAGTCTAGAGTTGGTGTAGAAAAGTGACCGTTGCACTTTTCTAAAAAGGGTGACTCTTGTGCCTTTC